CGGCTCCGCTCCCTCCAGCGCGGCGGCGGCTCCGGCCCCTCGGTATTCAGGTGGTGCTGCAAACCTCCAGCTAAGCTTCGCTTGGGAACGGCTGCGTTAAGTAGGGCAGAGAAACTCCTGGGCGGATCTCCGTAGATCGGCAAAGTATCTGGGTTATTTTTAAACAAGAGGAGGTTGTTAATCGAACAAGAGTTAGACTGGATATCAGGGAAAGGTTCTTCCCCCAGAGGGTGTTGGGCACTGAACAGGCTCCCAGGAATCGACATGGCCATGAGGCTGCCAGAGCTCCAGGAGTGTTTGGACAGCGCTCTCAGAGATGCACAGGGTGGGATTGTTGGGTGAATGTGCAGGGCCAGGAGTTGGACTGGATGATCCCTGTGGGTCCCGCCCAACTGAGGATATTCTGTGATTCTTTGATATGTTTCTCAAAATGCTTCTATCTCAGCCTGTTCAGAACATGTGCTCCTAAAACTTGATGAAGTTTGTGAGAACCAACCTGATGTAGGTTTGTGTTGGTTCTTGTTTCACGGGGATAGGTTGCATTTCAGGTTCTCCGTTAGATTCATGTTAGATTAATGTATTTTAGATCCTCTACAGTACTCTTGAAGCGAAATTCTGTAAACATAGGCGGGTGCAGAGAACCTGGAGCCCAGGTTGACAAGGTTATCCCTCTTTTGGTGTGGGACAGATTTATTTAATGTAATTTAATTTAATTTAATTTAATTTAATTTAATGTAATTTAATTTAAGCTCTTTCAGTAACTCAAGTATTTTATGTAATAATCAAACTAATAAATTTAAATTATTTTATAGTATATACATAATGTGAATATATGCACAAAAATATACAGAATACTTCTATTTATTATAAATTAAAGTTAAAATGTATTACATAATATAATACATTCTATATAAAAAGAAAGTATTGAAACAAAAATTTAAATAAAATGGCTTCAAAATAACTTCTTTTTTGGCTTTTCAATGGATTAGATTGAAATAGTCTCCCAGGGATCAAGCAAGGATGTCTGCTTTTAGGACAGTGTGGATTAGGGCATTTAAGTATGTATACACAGGCCAATCTTTGTCCCTCTACTTCTGGAAGCTCTAGTAACTTGACCTTATTTGTGATGTGTGTCAGACAAAATTCAGGACATGGATGTGTGATCTCCCAAGACTGCTGTGCTGCTGGATTTATTGTTCTATAACATTTCAACATATAAACAAGATATCATGTATCAATGTATTGTTACAATTTCTGGCTTTGAAATTTAGCTATTTGTGCATTTTTTTTTTCTTTTTTTCTGGGCAGGTCTTAATCACAAACCAAAGAGGGTTTTCGGAAGAGTTTTAATTTTTGTGCTTGCTTAAGATTTAAATTGCAACAAAACTACATATTTCCTTTGGAAAGTTTTCCTACTTAGTGAGTATATCAGAAGATATAACCATTGTTAGTAAAAACCACTCCTTTTTCATGTAAAATTCCAGTAGTGTGATTGCTTGCCAGGTTTTTTAGACTGAATCCAGCTTTCTTTCTTTGGTTTTGTACACAGCTCATTAGTTGTACTTTAGTAAAATGGAACTCAGAACAGTTACAGACCTTCCTTCTGCAATGCTGATTTTGCTTTACATCACAGAGATAACCAGAAACTTGATGATGATTTGTCTGCTTACAGTATTTGCTCTAAAATCCATGGCATGTCTTGTGTATCCTTTGTAGGAAAGTTAATCTCATTTATTCATAATTTTTTTTCAAATTAGTAATGGCCTACCAATCCAACTTTTAAAGGGGAGCATTGTCTTCAGTCTTAATCAAGCTCTCTGGTCAGTTAATTCAGTGGGTCCTCATTAGTATTTATTTTAGATGTGATAAAGCAACTTACTTTTTGCTTGCTGCTCACATGAATATCCTGAGGTGGCAATATGGACTGGAATATTTTGACCACAGCTTTGGGGTTTTTGTAGCCCTTCAGAATGAGAATATATGAGTTATAATTCTGAAAGGAATTTTCCAGCTGCTAGTTTATCCCATAACCGAACTGTACATTTCTATTGTTACTTTAATTTAAAATTGAGTATGGCTGATTACCACAACTTTAATCTCAAGTGCCACTGATTGTTTTTGTCACAACATTTGATTTTCAGTTGTCATTCCAGTCTTGACCTGCTTCTACATGAACTGCAATTCCTGTATTTTTGTTCTAAGAATACAAATTGAAGATCATTGCTACTTAGAATTTAATTTCTGTGCAATTCTTTCTAGGATTTTTTGTTTCTTCCACACAGGTGTAGAAAAATGGCAAAGAGAATTGCAGAGAAGGAGCTGACTGACCGAAACTGGGACCAAGAAGATGAAGCTGAGGAGGTAAATAAAATACACATTAGTTCACCCACTACGCAACCCTGCAGGTAGTAGAGTAGCTCTTTACACTTGCTCTGTATCTTGTGCATAAAACCTACAGTAGAACTGGTTAAAAGTGTAGCAATTAAAGATAGTTTTATAGAAGTGGATTTTTAAAAATTATTTTTATAAAGCTTCCAGTCATGCAGACCATATAGCAAAGCAGCTTTTAAGAGTTAAAATTACATCAGTAGTTCTGGGGAAAGGAACTTCATGTTTCTAGAGGGAAGCTTGTTAAAATGCATTTGGAGTCTTCATATGTGTGATAGATGTTTATTGAATTGACAGGAAAAGCAGATTAGATTTCTGATTATAAATGCTCTGTATGCCTCCAGTATTTTTTTTTTGAGGATCAGTAATTTTAGCTGAATGTCCCCACACAGCCAACAGAATTAGGCAAATAGTTCAAGTGTATGTTTCATTTGATTGTAAAAAGAGATTTTAACCTTTAATGTCTCACATTTCCTATGGCTCATGTTTAAACAAACTGGTTTAGTTTTTTCTGACTAAAAGTATTCAATGCTTAGGTCTATAAATGTAAGAAAGAAAGCTGACTCTCCCAGGAATTTGAATATAAGAAACCTTAATTTCCTCATTTATTGCAGGGTAGTACTGAGCCATTAGTTGTCTTTGCTAGTGTTTGAACTACAGCAGACTGCTGGAGGTTGCCTTAGAGCCCACATCTCCATATATTTGCTCCAAACTGTGGATTACTGACAGATTCCCTTCAGCAGAAAGAACACAGAGCTGTGTTTTAAAAAAACAAAGCAAAACTTAGATTATTCGTTGTAATAAAACAGAGATAGCACAAAGAGAAATGTAATGCAGAGCCAGAAAGAGTTTTTCAAGTATCTGCTGACATTCAGGTAGCTGGCAAGCTAATGACAGTGCTGTATTTTTGAAGTGAATTGGTTTTTAACTTCTTCCCTTGTTTCTTTGGTAGCAGTGTTAGAACTGTGTTCAAAACCTGATCTTGGCTGTCCCTTCATGTTGTGCTTTTCAAGTATTCCACTAATGATTCCATAACTTCCTCTTAAAGGTGGGAACATTCTCTGTGGCAAGTGAAGAGGTCCTGAAGAACAGAGCTATTAAAAAAGCAAAGCGCCGAAATGTTGGGTCAGAGGTAATGTAGTCACTTAACATGAATGCTGGAGTTTTACTCAGTTACAAAATACAACATCATGCTCAGGTTTTTACTTCCTTGGGCTGAATAAATTTATCATTTTGACTCAATGGCTTATATGTGCACATGAAATTTGGCTATACTGCTCCATGCTAAGAATAAGGCTAAGGCAAATAAAAGGGTAATAGTACTTTGACTGGGTAAAGAGGGTGTTTGTGCATATTTTATGAAGTAAAAATAAAGAGTGTTTCAGACACAATGTCATTTGCAAATGGGTAAAACTGATTTTTTGCAGAGATGGAAGTATGGAAATGCAAAGTTATTAGTTATCCATACTGGAGGGCTGGGGGATGTCTCAGAAGCTGTATTAGTAAACACACAAATACTAAGCTGCTCTGAGAATGAAAAACATGTCTTTTGTGAAGAAGGCTGCTACTTCTTTTTTCTCCCTCCCTGTTAAGAGCTTTAGTGCCATCTACTTTTTGCAGTTAACAAATTGAAAATTGAAAGGAGGTTGGCCTTTGTTACAGGTTTAGTCCCTGTGAAAGCATCAACCCTGTCCAGCCAAATTGTTGTCCTTTCAGAAATCCTTGACAAATGCTTTGTTGTATATATATATATTTCCCAGATATCCTTTGAACAGGGCATGCATCATGTTAGAAATAGCCCTGGAACTTTACCTGTTACAGAGATTGCTTTAGGATTGGATGGGACTCAGCAGAGTTAGGAGCTAGACAGTCTTCTATGCTCTTGATTTTCCTCCTGTAGTCCAAGCACTGTAAATGAGGAAGCTCTCTTAGCCCACTAATGCCTTGAGTAGTGTTAGCCACAAATGTGGTAGAGGATACAGTTAAATAAAGGATTGTACTGAAAAGAGATGATGCAAGACAGATTACAACTTGAGCAGGACAGATTCAGGGGCAAATGGAATAGCAAAAGGGACCAAATGGGTTGTAGAAGTTGTCAGGAGACTGGGAGCAAGCTGTTAAGAGCTTGTAGAAGGGCTGGTGTACTTTAACCCCAGCTGACAACTAAGGACCATGCAGCCCCTCACTCTTCCTCCTAGTGGGATGAAGAGGAGAATCAGACAAAAGAATAAAACCCCTTCATTGAGGTAAGAGCAGTTTAATGATCGAAACAGAGTGATGATGATGATAAGGGAACCAATAAAAAGAGAAAGAAATAAATCCCAAGAAAGATCATTGATGCACAGGACAGTTGCTCACTACCCACTGACCTCACCCCATCCCCAAGCAGCAATTAGCTGCTCCCAGCCACCCCTCCTCTCCCAGTTTCTATGCTGGCCATGACATTCTGTGTTCAGGTCACTGTCCTGGCCGTGCTCCCTCTCAGCTCCTTGTGTCCTATTGCTGGCAGAGCGCGAGACACTGAGAAGTCCTTGATTGCAGTGAGCACTGCTCAGTGCTAACTAAAACATCCTTGTGTCACCAACATCCTTCTCACCCTGAATCCAAGCCACACCAGTGTGCCAGCTACTAGGGAGAAAATAAACTTTATCCCAGCCAAAACCAGGACAACAGGCTGGACAAAGTCTAAAACACAGAAGAAATGACATAACAGCTGAAGTTGTGTAAGAAACCTGTGAAATATCTATGAAAAAGTAAACTTGAAACTTACTGACGTTCCTGCATGGAGCAAGCAGAATGCTACAGTGAAAAGACAGCAGTTTAACTGGAAAATCTAGAGAGAAAGGTGGGACTGATCAGATCAGAGAGATCAGAGAGAAGCACAATAAAAATGCCTACCTAGGAATAAGCAGAGGACTGGAAAAGATAGCACAAAAGGAAGCAAAGAGACCCATAACCATAAGGTCAGATACTGGAATACAGCCTAAAATTGACAAGCTTTGCCGTTTCTTCAATGGCAAAAGCAGATGAAACTCAGAAGCAGTTCTCCTCTGACGGTTTTCCAGGGATACTGAAAGTTCACTTCCAGTAGTTCATTACCTCCAAAGACTTAAAAGTTGCAGTGCTTTATTTGCATGTTAATCATACATTGTCTTTTAGACTCATGTAAGAAATGATACCATAAAACAATACAGTTGCAAAGACAGTGATCAGAACTGGGTAATGAAAAGGTTGCAGAGATAGATATTTTGTGGTCAGGTACAATCTCTTTGCATCTTCCATCAGTCATACTGGGATTTTGGGGTAAATCACAAGAGGTTTCATAGGTGACTCCAGAATGATGAGTGGATTAAAGTATTGGGCTCTTGATTGCCATTGTAAATGCTAAAAGTTGTTGAAAATAAACCTGAAATTGCAAAATCCTATGTGATTATTTAAAGAAAACTAGATGCTGTGAATGTCTAATAGGTAGTCAAACACATTCACAGCTCCAAACAACTTCCATGTATCCACATCTTAGACCCAGTTTATTTTCATACCAAACATCTGAGTCTTTTAACACAGTAGCAGTGTGTGTCAAGAGGAAGCTGTTAATTTTGTTTGCATAGCTGACACAGTAATGCATGGAATTACATGCTGAACTAGGGAAAAATAAACCAAGAATATCAGGAGTATTAAGTGGGGATAGGATTTGTGTGGAGAAGATGTATGTAACTGGTCTCTCTTTTTTTCTCCCCTCAGTCTGAAAGTGGAGGAGCTTTTAAAGGGTTCAAAGGCTTTGTAGTGCCTTCTGGAAAAGGAGGAGGTGGCTTCAGTGGATTCGGGAATGGTGCAGGAATAAAGCCTTTGGAAGGGCTGTCTAATGGAAGCAGTAGTGTCTCTAGTACTCCTTCTTTCAGCAGTTTGAAGAGCACCTCGGAAACACAATCAGCATTTGGTAAGTTTTAAATAAGCATACATATTTATCAATACCTTAAGTCATAAAATCTGTAGGGTTATTTTAGTAATGAAAAAACAAATTTAGACCATCTTGTAGTTGTGTTTTAAGGTTCTGAGACTTTATATCTCTTTGTAAGATTTCTTAATATTTTAGTGCTGGAGGGACAAGTTTTCACATGCATGCAATTTAAAGAGGTGGCAACTAAATTCATATTTCTAATACTGGAGGTAAAAGTTTTCTAGGCACAGATGGAAGGCACTGTCATAAGGCAGTCTGTAAAAGGTATAGAGCATCTGGTAACATGTCCCAGTTATTTGAATTTAAATAAAAAAATATATGCTGCATAGCTAAAGTCTTCATCTTTTTCCTTTGTACATCTGATGCTGCAGGCAGACTTACTCAAAATTTATCTGTTACAGTTATACCTACATTTTTAAGACATTTGAAATACTTTGGCAAGTTGAGCTCTCATGCTTTGGAATTCCCTGAGGAATATTAGTTCTGTCCCTTTCTGCTGGAGGTGCAGAAATGTAATCCTGCCAGCACAGAATTTTGGAGTCACCATGCCATAGAATAGAAATGCTGGAGTTTGAAGTTTAGAGTAACTTTGATTTCAGCGAACTTAAATAAATTAAGGAAAACTGAAATATTCAATGAGAATTTTTCTATTTTGCTTCTTAGGGTTTTTTATACAGAAGTGCTCAAAAGCTTGTAAAATTATGGGCTAGTGCACTCAGGGTGGTTTAAGGCACAAATGGCAAGAGATAAATTTAGTATTTTGATTTAATAAGTGTTACAGCTTGCTAAAGTTGTTAGATTTTTGTAAGATTTTGAAGGTTTTGGCAATATATAAGACATGTAATTTTTTAGAGTTCTGTACAAGATGTCTTTGGATTTTTTTTTAATACATCAGTGTGCTCCATCTACTTTGTCTATTCTTAACTTGTCTAAATTAAAACTTGGGTCTCCTCACTGGCATGGCAGTACCTGGGGCACAGTGTGGTGACCCAAAAGAAGGAGCTCAGCTGAATAACGATGAAGTGATTTGATTAAGAAATACTGAGCATGTTAGTTAGGCTTTTAAGTGACCTGTGCTTTCTGGAGAAAAAAGGGGTTCTAAGCCACATTCCTCACTAGGTCAGCAAAGCATCCATGTTGTTTTGTTGTGTTATTTTTTTAAACCAGAGCTTATAAACCAAATGAATCAAGTTGTATATCAGGAAAAAGCTCTTCCCCTGGAGGGTGCTTGGGCCCTGAACAGGCTTCCCAGGGAATGGTCACAGCCCCAAGGCTGCCAGAGCTCCGGGAGTATTTGGACAATGCTCACAGGCACAGGGTGGGATTGTTGGGATGTCCTGGGCAAGGCCAGGAGCTGGACTTGATGGTCCTGGTGGGTCCCTCCCAGCTCAGGGTATTCTATAATTCTGTGATTTTCCTTGTAACAGGATCCCCAACGTCAAATGGTCCCACTGCTGCTGTGTTTGCTGAGAAGAAGGTTGTGAGCCCACGAGCCAAAGGTGTCAGCCAGCCCTGCTCATCTGGCAGCACCTCGAGCGCGGCACACGGCTCCGGCACCTACCACAAACAGCTGGCTGCTCTCAACTGCTCCGTTCGTGACTGGATAGTGAAGCATGTTAACAGCAACCCCCTGTGTGACCTGACCCCCATCTTCAGGGACTATGAGCAGTATTTGGCGAGCATTGAGCAGCAGCATGGAGGCGGCAGTGACAGCGGCTCCGAGAACGAAAGCAGCAAGACCCCTGGCCCGCGGGCTGTTCCTGTGTTTGGGAGTTCAAAGCTCCAGCAAGGCTCCACATTTTTGTTTAACAACAAAACTGAGGATACCTCAGACAGAAAACCTGAAGCTGCATCAGAAAAAAGAGACACATTGTCAGGAGCTACATCAACTGTCTCGTTTAATTTTGGCAAGAGTGTTGACAGTTCTGTTTTGGGTTCCCTTGGTTCAGGAACACTTAGTAGTTTCTCGTTTTCTCCTGGGAATTCAGGTTTGTTTGGAAAAGATGCAAACCAGGCTAAGTCTGTCACTGCAGCATCCACCAGTTTATTAGAAGCTCAGACAGACAGTGGCAATAATGATGACAAAGGTAAATTCTGTGTATTTCTATTTGTAGTTATTTTAATGGTCAGCTTTGAGCGTATGTGACTTACAAATACTAAAAAATATGCAATATTAAGTTCATTGCGATGATGGCATGGTGTAGTGTCAGAGGAGGGTTAGGCTGGATATCAGGGAAAGGTTCTACCCTCAGAGGATGCTCAGGCACTGAACAGGCTACCCAGGGAATGTTCAAGGTCCCAAGGCTGCCAGAGCTCCAGGAGCATTTGGACAGCACTCTCAAGCACTGGGTGGGATTATTGGGGTGTTCTGGGCAGGGCCAGGAGTTGGACTGGATGATCCTGGTGGGCCCTTCCCAACTCGGGAAATTCTGTGTTCTGTGATCATACTTGAATGAATCTGAAAGTGCAGAGTTATACCCCTAACCAGGAGAACCCAGCCTTATTTAAGCAACACCAAAAGTATGTGCTTATCAAGACTTCCCTACTTCTGTCAGATTTATTTATAATTTATTTATAAATTTATATAAATATATGTTTTATAAATTTATCTATAATTTATTTATGATATTATATATTATATCTAATATATAATATAATCCTTTATCTAAGTCAGGACTTAAATTGATGAAATTTAAAGCAGCTGGTATGTTCACCTTGGAGCCTGGACTTCTCAATCCCACTACTTTTCCTAGTAGGTTTTTCAAGCAATTCCTGAAGTAAAAAGTGTGGGATACAGAGCAATTTAGTCCATTTTACTTAATTGATTGTAAAGTCAACAAAGTTACATAGTACCTGACAGCTTTACTCTGCTCTTTGCATGTGCTGATAGAAATCCCAGTAGCTCAGGGACAGGAAAGGCATAATCTGCTACTCTCATCTGTTATTGTGCAGCTAATTCCCTTCCCCCAAATTAAACCTGGGTCTTGGAAAGTTTATTGTGCTTTACTTGAACCCATTTGTGGAGCATACTCTTTGAAATGGGAAAGCTGTTCCTGTTCAAACAGAAGGTTTTGACTTACTAAGCTTTATATTGTTTGGTATGGATTGGGTATTTTCATTCCATTTAAACTGAAGGTGAGGATGAAGTTGCTTTAAGAACTGAATGAAAAGCAGGTAACACTTTTCTGTAGCTGAAGCTGCTGCCAAGTACACATGGTCTGAAAGGTGTTCTGGCTGTCCCTGACTGGCCACATGTGTTCATGTCAACCATGGTGGGCATAAGGAACTTCGAATATAGTGCCAAAATCTGTGCTCATGTTAACATATTAAAACTTTCTATTTAAAGGAGGGGAAGAGGAGGAAGAAGAGCCACCCAAAGTCATTGTTAATGAAATAAAAGAAGATGATGCTTTCTACTCAAAGAAGTAAGTAACTTGGAAAATAAAATTAATACCTGCATATTGCTATTCTTCACCACCTCAGCACATAATTAATAACATGTTCTTGACTTCCTAATTAATAAAGCTTGTTAGGAATCCATATAGAATGTGAACTTGTAAAAAAAAAAATTAATTAAAGGCAGGGGTGTGTAAGATCATACTAAAATTCTTCTGTATCTTGGACACAGCTCTAATAGTTTGTGTTGTATATCTGATCAGCTTTTTTACAAGTGAAGATGTTTCTGCCTACGGATTTTGTACAGTTAAATTCAGGACTTTGGGCCTTTACCACAGAAATCATATACAGTACTGCTGGAAAATCCACCAGCTGGCTTTGCATAGCCTAAAATAAGACTCTTCAGTTGGAAAATGTTGATTATTATTATATAAAGGAGCGAACAAGTTGTGCTTTTAAGCTCAAAGTGAAGCTAGCTCTACTAGAAGCAGTTTTTTAAAGCATGTTCAGTAGTCCAAATAATTGTGTATCTGCTTGACACTCAGCACAGAATTTGTCCTGCTACAAAAAGCAATTACCTTTATCTGAAAGAAGGTGTGTGTGCTACTTGATTAAAATGGCTTTACGTTCATTAGAGCTTCATTTAAAAAATGTTTATAAATTGTACATTAAAGTTCTATTATAACTTCAGAATGATACAGCAGGTTTTTATGGCTTTCTAATTAGTGCTTTTTAAAAGTAGCCTACATTTATTGCTCCTCACAGACCCTGAGTACAGGTTGCTGTGCCTTTTACTTTTCCCTGAAAGAAATACATTTATAATTTCAATACTAAGAGAAATAATTCACTTCCTCTTTGGTCTGCAAGTGCTGTCCCTTAGTGCAGGAAACAAGGTCAAGAATAATATTGATTTAGGTTACTCACAGCATGTTAAATCCTGATTACTGTTACTGCAAGTCAGATGGTTACATGTATCTGGGAGATATCTTTGTATTTCATCTCTACATGGCTGCACAAACAAGGATTTGGTATTAAATTTTTTTTTATCCACAGGTGCAAACTGTTTTACAAGAAAGATAATGAATTTAAAGAAAAAGGTGTAGGAACATTACATTTAAAACCAGCAGGAAATGAAAAAACTCAACTCTTAGTACGAGCAGATACCAATTTAGGTAAGTACATTTATCCCAGTAACAAGTCTTGATGTCAAGATTCCTTGCTAAGCAGGATTTTTTGGTCTTTTTTACACACAGCATTAACAGATAAAATTAGTGAAAACTTTCCGACTTTTTTTTCCTAAATCATTTACAATACTGACAAGCACGTGTAGTGAGCATTACAAAAGAGAGCACATGAAGCAGGGCATGAAGTAGAAGGTTATGGTGTGTGTTTGGGGATATAAAATACCTGTTTTACCCTAGTTTGTCCAGGTTAACCTCTGTCTGTATCAAAATGTTTTGCTTCTGCATGTGAACTGGTGGTCAGAATGAGTAACTTGGCATAAACTAAGCACTGTGCATGGATCCCTCATTTGCTGCTTCTCCCTTGTCCCCTTCCCTTTTTCCTGTGTGTCCCTACTATAATTTGATATTTGGGTTCCTCCATTTAAAAAAGGAGGATGCAGTATTTGTAGAGATTTTCTCATTTCTAATGAGGACAGAAATCTGAGAACAATGGCCATGAACAGATGCTTAGGGAAGAAAAAGACAAACATACATGATGTTTGTGAATTGCCTTCCTTCCTAAACAGCACCCTAAATCTCAATACTAACATTATATTGCAGTAAAAGTAATTACTAATTGTAAATAAAAATTACTAATTGTAATTTTTTCCCCTCCTCAAATGCAGGAAATATACTGTTGAATGTTCTAATTCCACCTAAGATGCCATGTACAAGAACCGGAAAGAACAATGTTCTTATAGTTTGTGTTCCTAATCCACCAATCGATGAGAAGAATCCAGCTGTTCCTGTCACTATGCTAATAAGAGTGAAAACAAGTGAGGATGCAGATGAGTTGCACAAAATTTTACTGGAGAAAAAGGAGACTTAAATAAGTTGCAGTCCGTAATTTGAGGAATTAATGCCAAACTGCTGCTGCTCTTTTTTTTTCTTCCCTAACTTCACTTGAACATTTAATTCTTTACTCTGATATTAAGAACTGTTACAGGAATTCTGGAAAAATGATGTGAGGAAAAGCTAAACTAGCTAATAAAAGCTTTAATAGAACACAAGTGTTGGACTGTGCTCCGTCATTTTCAGTATCTAAATGCAGGACCCTCTTCTGGATAAAGCACATGGATATAAATCCAAGCATATGTTTTTAGTACCAGTCGACCAAATGGACAGAAATCTGAGTACAAAAACATGGTACCAGAGCTTCCTCACAGACTGTAATATAATGCAACCACCTCCTGTTTTGGGAAGGGAGGATGTTCAAGTTTACCTGTTGCAACTGTTTCTAGGCTGCAGAACTTTAATTGGTCTGTTGTATTCTGGTGAGACTGACCTTTCAGACTCAGTGAAGTACTGCATCCCACCAGTGACGATCTCCATTGTGCTGGGTCTGTACCCTTGCAGACCCACGTGCTTTCAGGACTCAGAGACTGCAGATATTTAAAAGAGAATTTGCTTGTGTAGTCTTGTTGACAGTAGTGGTTCCTTCAGAGGAACTGTCAGTTCTGTTCTTGCTGGAGCAGCAAGCGAATAATGTGCAATATAGTACAAGCAGACAACTGGAGGACTGTTTTATCTTGGGCACACTGGCATTCCCTGGCTTCTGACAGGTCAGAGGCAAAGGATTGCACTTCCACATGGTCCTTCCGAGGTGTGTGTCCCTAGTCCTGCAACCCAGCTGAGGCAGAGCTGGTGCATTGGTCCTGCTGCTGGTACTTTGCTGAAGAGAGCTCTTCCCACCAACAAACTTCAGGACTTCTAAAGACCTTTCTGTTTCCTGTGGCCCTTGCCAGGAGACACATGCACAAGAGTGTGTGTCAGTATGTATTTTTCCATGTGATAAAACCATTAAGTAAAGCAGCAGAGTGCAGCTTTGGCTTTCTGTTGCATGTGGGGGGCATGGGGTAATTTGTAAACATAGTTTTCAGCTGTGATAAAATTAATCAGGTGGCAATAATTTGGGGATCAGAACGTTCATTCTGGTCTCGGTTTCCCTTTCAACTTTGTCAGACTGTGTTTGGTGGTTTAATCCTTTTATTTTTTTCAAATGTTTGCTGGAAACTCCTTCCCTAGTAACTTTTTCTACTTTGCTTCCAACTCTGGGACTTCTCCAAGAGCTTGATGTTAATATGAAACTTGAACTGCTCTCAGATGTGTTGCACTGACCAGCTCTGGCAAGATGGAACAAATGCTGTTTTGCCTCTGGCTAATGTGACACAGAGGAAAAACCCCTTTCCTTAAATACAGTCAGTGTGACACAATTCATACAGGGAACCTGGAAATCCAGCACAGTGGCATCCTGTGGGCAGGGAACAAGAAATAACACCATTTGTTGAGGTGCAGCACATCTCACCTGTACCCTGGCTCTGGGGGGGAGCAAATGGCTGCCTCTAGGCCTAATTCACTGCACAATTCAGGTTATGGCCTTTTTTTCCCCCTCTTCATTAAAAGGAGGAAAATCTTGATTTTATCTATAGCCCTGTTTACCAAAGTTCGAAAACAAAGGCCTTTGCTTGCATTTCAGCCACGTTTAGTGTACAAGAATTGCATTTTGAATACTGGAGTATGAAGAGAGCTTAGATGCCATTTTAGTTATTTGAAAAATAAACTGGTGCCTTTTGGGGTTTCTTTTTGCATCTGGCTAAGTACTTAAACCATTAAAAGTCAGTGACATTGCTTTCCTCAAAATAAGATACTTTTTTTGAAAAAAGTCTTGCTGCTACCTAAATTGGAGGCCCAAAGCTGACAGAGGATGTCTAAATGTGTATGAATGAAAAGCAGAACATTGCCTAAGAGTTTAGTCCAGGCTCTGGTTCAAGGGCTCAGTTAATTTTGCATTTGTCTTTTGACTGTAGTGTCTTAACCCTGTCTCTGTTCAGAAAGGTTTATAGACAGAGCTCTGGTTGTACATCCCATAAAGAACAGCTCTGTCTATAAAAGCTTGGCCTTGTTGTCTTTGCTTACTTCCAAAAGCTCATGGATTTGGAACTGTTCCTTCATTCTTAGAAACGTGGACCAACACACTGAGCTTAATTAATACTTCTTTCCTTATGCTTTGCCTCTGAAGAGGGCCCACTGTGGGGTTTTGCACACATGGATGTGGCCCAGTTCTGACAGTACATCTCTGGCCTGTTTCCAAACAGGGCACAGAGGGAATGGAAAAATAAGTAGAAGAATAATAAATTGTGTTGGAAAGAATTAAACCTTACCCTAGCCATTGTAGCAAGTAACACCTGAATTCTTCTGTGCATGTATTTAATCAGTAAAGCCAGGGGAAGCTAAAAAATTGGGATGTTACCTTCATTAGAATGTTAAATATATGCATAGACATACAATTTTGAACATTTTATGTGGGGAAAATTGCCTCTAAAAGAACAGGGAAGAGTTTCCCTGCAAAGCAGATTTTAATTGATTCATGGTGACCATACCATTATGTGGACTACGAAGCAGGAAAAGTCAGTTGCACACTGACAAACTTGGTGCTCAGGTATAAAGCACAGCCCTTTTCCAGCACTGTTAGAAATTTTGATGATGCTTCAGTTTCTATTTAAGAAATACTAAAATATAGAAATGCTGTAAAAGGCCAGAGATTGTTATATAGAAATAAAGGCCTTAAATGAAAAAGCAAATTTCATGGAGAGCACAGACATCAGTGTACTGCTGCCTTCATAACAAACTGGCACATGCTAGCCAAGGGAAGAATTTTGATCAGAATTTCACATCAAGGAGGCATTCTTGTGTCTTGGTTGGTAATGTATTGAACAGCTGGATAACAGACACCTGATATTAAAGATGCAAGTTTCTGCCCCAATTTGCATTAATGCCTTCGCTGTTCCAGCTGTATGTAGATGTGGGAGTGTCTTAGCTATTCTTCCTCTTCTAATTTTGAAGTTTCAGCTGGAAAATAAACATCTTCGCTTCTTTTAATTCTCAGAATAATTTCTAAGGGAGATTATTACAGTTGGCTTGAATTTAATTTAAAATTATATTAAATTGCAATATGCAAGGATTTTTTTTTGTTTTGTTTTGGGGTTTTTTTTGTGTCTTTTTTTTTGGTTGGTTGGGGGGTTTTTTTGTAATGTATTCGAAATTACCTATTTGGGAGGGCAACACTGTGTTCCTTTAATCCCTTTTGGTTGATGGATGTGAAAGTTTAAATTAAATTTACACTTCAAATGAACATACTGTAGAACATAAAGCAGTCAGGAGGTTTGCTTTGCTATTAAAATTGAAGTTCAGCTCCCTTTGCAGCACTGTAACATTTAAACTGTTGTTAAAGACTTTCTTTCTGATGCCTTAACTTATTTGCATTTGATAAAATTTTGTAGCTGGTGCCTGTGTGCAGAAATTAACTGACATTAAACAATTTAAAGTGGCATGAGCTAGTCGAAACCCAATGAAGATGCTGAATGTGATGATTTGTTAGTTGTTAGTAGATTTCAAAATGCTCTGAATTTTTCAGTGCATACTTAAGTTTTACATAAAGTGTATGTTAATGTTTTCATTAGTTCTGATACACTGAGGACATGTACAAAAATCCATGGAAAATGTGAATAAATGAATGGAAGATTCACTTGTCTTGTGTAAATCATTCTGAGTGCATAACATCACATTAATAAAATGAATTTTACAACCAGTTGCTTGCAGGTGAACTCCTGCCTGGAAAATGCTGCTACTAAAAGAAGGAATGTCCTGCTCTCCCCATTCCTGACTTGGAAACCTGGAGCCAGTACAGCAAAATGCTTCCTCCTTGCCAGGTCAGTGAGCTGAGCCAGCTCGGAGCAAGGAGCTGGCTTGGAGGACAGAGGCACCTGTGCTCACATACTGCTCGAGAGACTGACCTCAAAACCCTCCACATGAATATTAAAGGATTTAGAAGCCACATAATCTAGATTTACCTGATTACCCTTTCTGAATTTATTTTAGATCTTGCCTGGAGGCACTAACCTAAGGTCAGGCCAAAGTGATTCTTTTCTTCATTGGTTTGTGAGAGTTTGCAAGTACAAGAACCCCAAAATCAAATCCCCACTGAATGAAATTGCCACAGACTTGCCATGCCAAGTACAGTTCAACTTCATGCACCTGGGATGCATGTTGACATTATTCCACATTTTGCACACTTCTTTCTTCCTTCTACTTAAAAAGACTGTCATCACTGTTCAGAGTCTCCCAAACTTTTGGCAGCCATAAAGAAAAAATAAAAGCTCTCAAGGGCAGAATTATTTTTCTTTTTGTGCTGGGGTAATCTAGAACATCTGATGCCTTATGCTTTGCTAATCACCAAAGATTTTATCACTTGCATAAGAGGAAGGGACAAAGACAACCATGCAGAAGACATCAAGTCTAAGACTAAGAAAATGCAACTCCAAGAATGGAATGTGTTGATCAAAACACATTCAGGCTCTTTCCTGATTCAGCAGTCAAATGCTCATGCAGGTCACAGTAACCACAGCATGCAGCAGTTGCAGCCATTCATGTGAAGAGCACAATAAGAGCTAAAGGCATGCTGGTTTGGGCTGGGATTAACTTAATTTTCCCAGTAGCTGGTAGTGGCTGTGTTTTGGGTTGGTGCTGGAGCAGTGCTGATAACACAGGGATGTTTTAGTTATTGCTGAGCAGGGTGTGCATAGAGCCAAGGCTCTTTCTGCTCCTCTCCCACCCCACCAGTGAGGGCCTGGGAGGGGGGCAGGGGGGGCACAAGGAGTTGGGAGGGGACATGGCTGGGACAGCATTTCCCAGCTGGCCACAGGGACTTCCCAGACCATTTGGTGTCATGGTCAGCATACAGAGCTGGGGGGAGATGGAGGAAGGATGGATATTTGGAGTGATTGCAATTGTCCTCTCAAGTCATCATGGTGCACCATGGAGCTCAACTTTCCTGGGATGGCTGAACACCTGCCTGCCCATGAAAAGTGGGGAATGAATCCTGTTTTGCTTGTGTGCATGTCTTTTGCTTTTCTGTCAACCTGCCCTTATATCAACCCACCAGTTTTTCCACCCTCATCCTCTCACCCTCTCCCCATCTCACTGAGGGGAGGAGTGAAGGGCTGAGCCACTG